TCCGCTCAGCGCGCTAGTCTGGACGCTCCCCTGCCGACATCAAAGCCCTTTGTCGGCAGCCCCGGTAAACCTCATCCCCTGATCAGCTGTTTGTCGGTTCAGCGCGGCAGCCATGTAAATTTACATGAAGCGGCGATTATTTAAATCGCTGCTTCATTTTACTATGTCGGGTAGCCTAATCTACATGCCTCTGGTGACAGAGGCATGTAGTCTAGACGTACCCTTTGTAATCTCCTTGGGGGTTACACTTTGTTTCTGTCTTCTCTGTTTGGGTTTGCTTTTGTCTGTGGATCTCTGATTGTCTGTGGAACTCTCTGTCCAGCCCTGTATCTTTGTCTATGAATTGGAATATTAACCCTGTCTTTTCCCTCTCGTCTCTCCCTCTGTGGCTCCTAGCTCTATGGGCAGTACACAGATCAGCTCTCTGACTTTGCACAGAAGGAAGCAGCAAAACTACTGAGTGAGAATAAGGCCCAAAAGAACAGCCAGAGTCCCCGGAAACGGGACAGCCAGGCAGAGACCAAAGAGGAGCGGTACTCCAAATGCCAAGGTAGGACCACTCAACCCTGCTGGCTAGACTGGCTCACTTGACTACCAAAAGATGGGCAGGCTGCCACTGGTGGTGCAGAGGGATGGAATTCCAGTGGGGTGAAAGGGGGATAAGTGAGCCTTGTTTCAGGAGGAGGCGGAAGGAGTCCCACTGGATGGAAGAGGAGAAGTTAGCAGAGGCTACATTTCCTCTCCAACCTGTGTGATAGCAAGGGATAGTTCTTCAGAGCAGTCTCTTGTCCCATTACACTGGAGTTGCAGTCTCCTGCCCAGGGCAGAGAGACCTTGCTCACACTTGCTGGATCATGTGAGGAGATGTCTCCGTCCAGGGCACAAGAGGTTAGACTCCTCGTGCTGCAGAAGCCTGTGCAGCGCAGGGCAGGGCACTGCTGGGCTCTCCTGCATTCTAACATGCTCTCTCCACAGGGGCTACTCTCTTGCCACCATCAGACAGGGGACTTGCTCAATATTTCTTGACCCTCCCTGGCTTACTGTCTTGTCTCAAGACTTTTTCTCTTCCACAGACTGTGCTAGACTCATTCAGAAATATGTTACCAAGAAGCTTGGAGAAGACTGGATATTCCTGGTTCTCTTGGGTCTGGTCATGGCGCTGGTGAGCTGGGGAATGGACTATGCCAGCGCCAAGAGTCTGCAGGGTGGGTCCAATACAGGCGCTGTGAAACTGCCTCACAAATCACATGTACAATTCACTGCTATGCCTAATATCCCATGTTCAGCACTGGCTCCCTGCAGCACAGTGCCCTCGAATGTCATGCTGGGTCACTGGGGCCAGTATTGACTCACAGGGCAACATATCCCCTCGTTTGTCACCCCCTTCGCTCCCTTCTCACACCACACCGGGGCACTGGGATCAGTAGGACCCAGCAGGGGGAGTATCCGCTACAGAGTCACTCGGGGTCTTGCAGAACACTCATTTTATTTGGAAGTGTCTCCTCAAGCATATGCCAGACATCTCCCTGTTTCACTTGAGATATTTAACACTTGCAGACCAAGGTAAGTATGGACTGTGAAGTCCTGTTAATTTAATATTGTATTTCTGCCCTCGGAATACATATACACATACAGCTCCTCTACTCCAGCCCCCACACCCTATTTTGGAAGAACTTCTTTCTGCTGTGGGGAATTCAATCTTGTGTTTCACATCCCCCTAGCACACACTGCTCCCTGTGACACCTGCCCTCTATTAGCAGGACCCCTTTCTTCTGAGGGGTTCAGTCCTCAGCATGGTTGGATTCTTCTTGGTTGGGCCAACCTGTACTTTTGAGCTGGATTTGTTTGATGCTCATCAGTTCTTTGGGAAGGTACTGCTTTTGCTGACACCTGTTCTGTCTGCCCACAGCTTACAAGTGGATGTACAAGGAACTGCACCCAAGTGTCCCTATGCAGTACCTGGCCTGGGTCACCTACCCCCTCATCCTCATCCTCTTTGCTGCTGTATTCTGCCACCTCGTCTCCCCACAGGCTGTTGGTGAGAGCAGGGGGCCAGGGAAGATCTGCCTTTGTCTTTCTCTTTTTTGGTATGTTCCCTGTTTCTATGGCTTATTTCTTCATTGGCTGTTCTGGGGTTTGTTTTTTTCCCCAGGATCTGGGATTCCTGAGCTGAAGACAATCATGCGGGGAGTGGTCCTCAAGGAGTACCTCACACTCAAAGCTTTTGTGGCCAAAGTGGTGGGCCTGACAGCTGGGCTGGGGAGTGGCAGCCCTG